GTTTTTTGTTGTTCTTGGTTTTTTGTATTTTTGTCTTTATTTGTGGCATTAGAAGGGTTTTTTTTGTTTATCTGGATACTAGCCCTTTACTAGATAGAAGATTTACAAATATATTCTCCTAGTCTGTGGGCTTTTTTTTTACCAGCTAGTGTCCTTGAAGTCCAAAAGCTTTTTTTTTTTGAGACAGGGTCTCAGAGTGTAGCCCAGTCTGGCCTCAGACTCATAGTGATCCTCCTGCCTCAGCTTTCCGAGTGCTGGGATCACAGGCGTGCTCCACCATGCTTGACCAAATGCTTTAATCTAAGCTGAGCGTGGTGCACATGCCTGTAATTCCAGCACTTGGGAGGCTGAGGTAGATGTATCACTGTGAGTTCAAGGCCAGCTTGAACTACACAGCAAGAACTTGTCTCAAAAAAAATTTTTTTAAGTTTTAATTTTGATGAAATCTGATTTGCCTTTTTTCTTTTGCTACTTGTGCTTTTGGTGTCATATTAAAGAAATCATTGCCCAACTCAAACTCATGAAGATATAAGCCTATGTTTTCTTGTAAGAGTCTTACCATTTTAGTTGTATTTCAATCCTCAATTGGCTTTTGAGTTAATTTTCTTTTCTCTCTCTTTTTTTTTTGGTACCAGGGATAGAACTCGGGTCCTTCCGCTTGCAAGGCAGGTGGTGGAACCACTGAGCTAAATCCCCGGCCCCTTGAGTTAATTTTCTTTATATGGTGTGAAGTAGGGGATCTACATTCTTTTGCCTGTGAATATCCACTGGTCTCAGAAAATTCCTCCCCGTGCTGAGCTATCATGGACCCTTACTGAACTATAGTCAGTCAAAATCAGTTTATTTCTGGGCTCTCCGTTCTATCTGATTGATCTGTATGTTTTTCTTATACCAGTACCACATCTTGTTTAGTCAACCTTTGCAGTAAGTTTTGAAATCAGGAAGTTTGAGTCTTCCACTTTGTTCTTTCTCTTGTGGGGTAATGGCACCCAGGGCCTGAACTACACCTGGGCCCTGACATTGTTCTTTTTAAATTAAAAAAAAAATTTTAGTGGCCAGGGATTTAGCTCAGTGATTCTACTGCCTGCCTTGCAAGCACAAGGGCCCGGGTTCAATCCCCGGTACCAAAAAAACCCATTTTATTATTTTTTGGTACCGGGGATCAAACTCAGGACCCACTGAGCTAAATCGACCCCAGCCCATTTTTCTTTTTTTTTTTTTAAGGATTGTTTTGGCAGGGTCCCTTTCATTTCCATCAGCGTTTGGGATAGTAGTGTCAATTTCTCCAAAAACAACAGTTAGGATTTTGACAGAGACACATATTGTATCTGTAGATCACTTTGAGGAGTGTAGTCATTTTGACTTCCACTCTATAAATGTAAGATGTCATTTCATTAGTTAATCTAAGTAATTTAAACCCCAGTATTTTAGAGAGAAAGGACTGAGGAAGTTCCACCCATGAGTTTTCTGAAAGGTAGTACCTGCTAGATGGGAGGACTCAGTAAATACCATCATGGGAGCCTCTGAGTGATTGAATAATATTTCCTTTAAGGGAAGTGCTTTTGAGTTGCTTATGGAGAAGAGGTGTTGGAATACTAACGTCTAGAATTCCAAGGAATGCACAGATGGTCCAGGTTTTTAAAATTTTTTTTTTTTTTTGGTATTGGGGATCGAACTCAGGATCTTGCACTTGTAAGGCAGGCAGCAGAACCACTGATCTAAATCTCCGGCCCTTTCAGACTTTTTATAATGCACTGAGGATATGGATTCTGGGCTGAGATCAACAGGTGGACTTTGGAGTGGGGCCTTGGTTTGTAAGTAATGTCTGAGGTTGCCCTCGTTCTCTTTGTTAGGGCAGTGGAGAGTTCAGAATTGGTATCTGAAGCCTTGGTAGCACACAAGACAGTAGGCCAGAAGCTTCATGGCAAAATGTGGTGGCTTCAACTCTTGTCCCTCTGTGTCAGCTTGTCTGCAATCTGCCATCACAGGACTTCCTGGCTGCCCTGGTCCTGGTCCTGGTCCTGGTCCTGGAGGGCCCTGGTTGGACTCGTTAACAGAGAGCCTCCCTTGTGCGTCACCTGTTGGTTTTCTTCAGCACTGTTCTTTAGGGTCCTGGGTTTTAGTGTTGCTCAGTTTCCTCCTGACAAGAAAGCTGCTGCTGATCACAGCAAAAGCTTCTCTAGCTTGATTTGGCCACCGGGTAGAGAGCGCAAGAATGGAGGTTTGTGGAAAAAGGGCTTCTTTCCAGGCATTGTCTGTCATTTGTTCTGTCATTTTCTAGTCTGTCTCAGCTGCCATTGAGGCCCAGTTCAGAACTGTTCTTTTGGATGAGGGAAGGTGAGCACCTCTGGCCCTGCTGGCCCTTGTACCTGACATTCCTTTGGGGTCTTGGGATTTCTTTAGGTTTCCACACAAGAAGCTGGGCTCCCAGGGCCTGCATTTGAGTCTGTCTCCTCCGTTTCTGTCCTCAGAGAGGGACTGTGTGCTGCCCTCTCTCGGCACTGACTTGAGTCCCTTAGAAGCTGCCCCACGGTGCTGCTGGTCTCCAGGTTTGAGGGAGTTGGTAACAGACACGCACTCTTCCTAGAGGGGGAAGCAAAAGGTGCTGTGGGCTAAGGGAGGGAGCAGTGTCCTAGATTCCGCTTCTCTGAAGTAGCCGGGTTCTCTGCACCTCTCCTCATCCTGCAGGCTTCGAGGCTGCCACCCTACTTCACGTGCACATCTGTGCAGTTCGCATCGAGGCTTTGGAGCCCACACCTCTGCTTCTGGCTCTGATTGTGAGGGAGAAAGGTGACCTCTAGCTTCAGTTTTCTCATCTGAAGAACAGGGACATAAGGCGTCCAACTAGGTTATAATTGGGAAGTTGAGGTAACATCATGTAACATGATGACTGTAGTGCCTGCGTCTAGTGAGTGGTTAGAATACTGTCACCATTGCTTATTGCATCGTCCTTGTCACCCTTGCTGCTTCCTCTTGGCATTCTTTGTTGCTCTTGGGCAGCTGCTAAGTTTGCAGGTCCATAGTCCCTTGTGCATTGTTCTCAAACCCCCAGATCTCTGGGAACTGTCTGTATCATCCTTCTTATTTGGCAGCAGACCTGACTTGGTGTGATCCAGGCAGTATGTAGGCTGATGTGTTGCACTATAAGTGTGAGCAAGGTGGAATCATTCACATGTGTGCCGGAGGCGGCTGTAAGGACAGTGGGAGGAGACCTGGGTGACCCTCTGCTGCTTAAAGGAGGAATGACTTACGTGGGGGCTGCTCCTTCCCCAGGCAGGTGGTGGCTGGGTTGCTTGTGGGTACCCTGCACCCTGGAAGCCTGTTCCCCCTTGTCCCTTCCTCAGGACAGGCCACTAGCTCCAGAGCTAAGGCAAGGCAGAGTCCCAGGCAGGGCAAGGGAAGGTCAGGATGCATGGGCCAGCAGAGCTGCAGCAGCAAGTTGGGATTCAGAGCAAGTCGAGTGGGTTGAAGATCAGAGCAGCTGTGCTTCCTGAGGTGAGCACTTGGGCCCACGGAGACCTGGCAGGTTCCTGGAATACTTTGGGCTACTGGCAAAGGAGAGACTGAAGGATCTGCCCAGGTGTCAGTGGCAGAGGGGACATATTCTGTGAGACTGGCAGCTCCCTGCAGGGACGGCTCACTGTACAAGGATTGTTGGCTGTGAGGCTGTGTTCCTGAAGAAAGGTGGGCTGCTTTTCTTCGGATGCAGTTGGATGTTCTGGGATGCCCCTGGGGTGGCAGGGGACTGTGCTTTTGTGGAAGGGGGTCTGGACGGAGAGCCCTCTTCACTGACAGGGTGCACAGAGGCAGCTTTCCAGGTATGTGAGCCACCAGAAGGGTGGGGCATCCTGTCCGCAAGTGACAGAAGGATGGTAGCACGCTAGAGGGTGATCAGGTGGGTGAATGAGGGCTGAAGCATTGGGTGCCACTTAGAGGGTTTTGGGGTGAGCAGTGTGCGTCACCCGATGGGGACTAACCTCTTCAGAGAGTCCTTCCCACCTCAGGTGCTGGATGCAGCGGCATCTTGGATCCCAGGTTTGTAAGAGGCTCTGGGCTGTGGCCAGGATGTAGGGCCTGGAGGCAGGAGCTATAGCCGTTTCATTTGACATTCAGCATTTTGTGTCTCTTTGTATTGACCTCTGCTTGCTATGCTTTCTTTAGGTCATAGGGAGAGCAGCACTTGGAGCCCCTTTGGAGGCTAGGGTCTCCCAGGGCTCCTGGGTGCTGGGCAGTGGGGTGAGCGCCATGTGATGCCCTCTGTCCTGTGTCCTGTCTCAGAGGGAGACCAGTTGCAGGCACCTAGACTTGCCTGCAGTGGAGCCTGAGCCCATTGCAGTGGGCACGGAGGGGTTCCAGAGGTAGTGTGTGAACCGGTCCTGCCATGGGGAGGCTGCAGTGGGCGGGGAGGGGGGGAGACAACAACAGAGGTCAGCTGTGTGACCCTCTGCTACCTTCGCCTGGCTGCATTGGGCCTGTCCTACAGTAGGGGCCAGAAAGATCATGAGCCAAGGGCTTGCTGCTGCTGGCAGAAGCAGGGTGCTCCCTGTGGTCCTGTCTAACAGGGGGTTTAAGATAGCCGCCTTTATCCTCTCTCAGTCCTGGAGCAGAAGTTCGAAATCAGGAGGCAGCTGCAGGGCTAAGCTGACTCCAGGTCTCGTGGAGGATCCTTCTCTGCCTCCTCGCCGGAAGTCCTTAGTTTCTTGGTGTGTGGACAGGGCTCCCCTGTGTCCGTTTCTGTCCTCACTGTGGTCCTCTCGGGGGCATCTGCTTGTGTCCTGACAGCCCCATACAGAAGGACCCAGGTCTGCTGACTAGGGTGCACTTTAGTGGCCTTCCCCAACCTAACCACCTCTAGAGAGCCCAGCTCCGGCACATTTCAGAAGTACCAGGGCTTAGGGCTTCATCTCTTTCTGTGGGACACAGCTGAGTCTGGAATACCCTGTCTAGGGGTCCTGGCACCCCTGTAGCCTTGAATCTCACCGCTGTCCTGTTCTCTGCAGAACCGGGCAGTGGGTCGGCCCAAGGGGAAGCTGGGCCCATCCTCCACAGTGAAATTGGCTGCCAACCGAACGACAGCAGGAGCTCGCAGGCGCCGGACGAGATGCCGCAAGTGCGAGGCGTGCCTGAGGACAGAGTGTGGAGAGTGCCACTTCTGCAAGGACATGAAGAAGTTCGGGGGCCCCGGGCGGATGAAGCAGAGCTGCATCATGCGGCAGTGCATTGCGGTGAGTACCCTGTGCCGCTGCAGCCCTGCTCATTGGGGTGGGGACAGGGTCAGGCCAGTGCTCTTCTGAGCCTCTGCTTTCCTGCCATGTGTCATAGTCTGGTGGTCTCTTACCCCCTCCCTTCTTGTTATGGCTAAGTACTTCAAAGTCCCCTCATTAAAGATGTTGGGGCAGCCTGTCCTGTCTTTAACTCCATAACCAACATTTACAGTCCATTTCGTGAGGATTGTGGGCCCTTTACCTCCAGTCTGCCTGCCTCAGGGTTAGAGGTATGGGTGAAAAGTCAGTGACCCTCCTTAGGAGGCCGCCCCAGACAGAGAGGAGTGGTAGTGGGTCCAAGGAGCTGCTTGTCACCACTTCTTCGGCAGTTGCTTGGGCCACCAGCTTTGCCCCAGTGCCAGGCAGCTTGGCATGGTCCCCCTGATTCCTTCCTCTACACACCCACACACACGTTGCTGTTCCCCAGGCCCAGTGGCTATTCTTGTGGGAGTAGGCATTCCCGGTCCCCCTGGAAAAGCTGGCTTAGTTGAGGGGGGGAGGAACAAGATTCCTGGGCACTGGTGAGCTCTGCACAGGGTGAGCCTTTTCTCCCTGACTGATGCCAGTATCCCTTAAGCCCAGTGGCATCTTCCCCTTCTCCCTGCACACACGCCCTGCTTGTGTCTTTTGTTAACTTGTGATTTAAAAAAAAAAGCACCCACTGTAAAATTTACTCATAATCATTTTCAGGTGAGTAGTGCAGTAGTGTTACCCATATATGGACATGGTCATGCAGCTGATTGCCAAAACTTTCATTTTCCAAAACCAAAACTGACTGGGCGTGGTTGTGCAGGCCTGCAATCCCAGCACTCAGGAGGCTGAGGCAGGAAGATCACTGCGAGTTTGAGGCCAGCCTGGGCTACATAGTGAAACCCTGTCTCAAAAACAAAAACAAACCAAAACTCTGTACACATTGAACTCCTGGAAACCACCCAATCCATTTTCAGTTTCCAAGAGTTAATGCAGCACCTCATGTAAGTGGAGTCATGCTCTGTTTTTTGTGTCTTAATATCCTCAAGCTTTATCTATGTCGAAACATGCAACAGATTTTTTTTGTTGGCACTGGGGATTGAACCCAGGTCCTCTGCATCCCCTACCCCTCTTTATTCATTTTGAGACAGGGTCTCACTAAGTTGCTTAGACTAAGCATCCTCCTGCCTCAGCCTTTTAAAGTGCTTGAGATTACAGGCAAGCATCAGTATGCTAAGATGACAGCTTCTTTTTAAAGGCTAAATAATATTCTGTTGTACAAATACAACATTTTTTGCCTGTTCATTTGTTGATGAACATTTGCAATGCCTCTCCATCTTATTATCCTGAATAATGCATGCAGTGATCATGGACGTGCAAGTCTCATTAGGATTCTGATTTCCATTCTTTGGGATGTGGAGTTGCTAGATCATGTGTAATTCAGTTTTTATTTCTTGAGGAACTTCCATACTGTTTTTATTTTTTTATTTTTTTGGCACCGGGGTCGAACTCAGGTCCTTGCGCTTGCGCCACAGGTGCCGGAACCACTGTGCTAAATCCCTAGCCCCTTCCGTACTGTTTTTCTTCACAGCTATACCATTTTACATTCCTATGAGCAGTGCACAAGGGTTCTCATTTCCCTAAATCCTTGCCCACATGTTATTCTCTGAGTTTTTATTTTTTAAATCTAATGTTTTTGATTTGTTTTGAAACAGGGTCTTGCTATCTAGTTCAGGCTGACCTTGAACTCACTAAGTAGCCCAGCCTCCTGAGTGCTGGGATTATAGGCATGTGCCACCACACCCGGCCAAATTTAATTTCTTTTTTTAAGACAGGTCTCACTATGTACTTTAGGCTGATTTTGAACTCACTGTGTAGCCCATGCTGGCTTTGCACTCAGGATTTTTCTGCCTCAGCCTCCCAAGTGCTGGAACTACAGGTACATTTCACCACACTCAGCATTTTTCTTTTTTCTTTTTTTTTTTTTTGAGACAATGTACTTTAGGCTGATTTTGAACTCACTGTGTAGCCCATGCTGGCTTTGCACTCAGGATCTTTCTGCCTCAGCCTCCCAAGTGCTGGAACTACAGGTACATTTCACCACACTCAGCATTTTTCTTTTTTCTTTTTTTTTTTTTTTGAGACAGGGTTTAGCTCTGTAGTTTGGGCTGCCCTTGAACTCACACTCGACCCTAGGCTGGCCTCAAATTTGCAGTGATCCTCCTGCTTCAGTCTCCCAGGTGCTAGGATTACAGATGTGTGCCACTGATGCCCAGCTGTTTGTTTCTAACAGTGGTCATCCTGGTGTGTATGAGGTAGCATCCTGTTATGTTTTTGATCTGCATTTCTGTAATGACAAGTGATATCGAGCACTTTCTTGTGTACTTGTTGATCATTTGTATGTCTTCTTTGGAGAAATATCTGTTTCGTATCCTTTGCTCATTTTTAATTGGGTATTTCTGGTGTTGTTGTTGTGAGGTTGTAGAAGCTCTTCATATATTCTGGATATTAACCCCCAGGATCAAGTATTATCTGTTGTGGATGCATTTTTCTGGTGAAGAGGGTCTGTGTGACCCTTTGAATTTGAACAGGATTTTTTTGGGGGGTACCAGGAATTGAACTCAGGGCCTCATGCTTGCCAGGCAGGCACTGCACGCTGAGCTACATCCCCAGCCCTTTGAACAGGATTTTAAGGATCTTGTCTGGAGACTGTTGGTTTGGACAAGTGTCACCTAAACCTTAACTGCCTTCTCCTCTAGTGCCCAGGGTCCAGTTACAGGAAACCTTTGTGATTGGCCTCATCTTTGCAGCTCTGGTGCCTGCTGCCATGCCGGGCACATGGGCCATGTTGGTAGGAGTGAACCTGTCTCCTGTCAGCTCCAACCCCACAGGCTTCTTGAGCCATCCAGTCCTTCGGAGTCTCTTTCCGGCCTTCTATATTTTCCCCTCTGCCCCACACATGGCCTTCCCGCTCGATGTGTGGCGTCTCCCTCGGCTTCCTCCAGTGGCTTCCCTCCCCTCCAGGATCTCTGCAGTAGCTTTGCCCCTGGTTCCCCTCTCAAGCTGCCACGTGTCTCAGAGTCAGTGTCCTGAGCCCAGACCCTCCTCTTGCTGCACACCTGTAGCTCCAGGCTGCCTGCTGCGACCCCACACTGAGTGTGTCCTGTGCAGACCTCTCTGGCCTTGCCCACTTGGAGATCTTTCCTCCTACTAGTCGGCCTTGCTGCTTCAGATTACACCTGAACACAACTTTTTCACATTTTCTTGGATTTCAGTGAGTTGTGTCTTTGTCTTCTGAAATACTTTGAGGAGAACAGCTGTCCCATCACTTCCACACCTCTCTTAATATCTTGTTCTGGGCGTTAGCAGATGTTGTTAGGTGTTGGTTGGATGATAAATGGCTCTTGTACCTGCAGTGTTCTGTGTGGACTCAGGTGTCTGGCCACTTTACAGACTTTTCCACTTACAGCCGAGCATATCCCAGCTTGTTTGAAGCTCCTGGGAAGCAGTTTAGTAAAACCTGTGCCTGTGCGTCTTCTGCATTCTGTACTCATCAGGGCCAGGTGAGCAGGTGGGCATAGGGCTGACCTGGCCTCTGCCCTTGGGCTCCGGCAAACTTGGTGGTCTTGGAGCCCCTTTGTGGTCTAAAACCCTAAGGGCCCCAAAGTGCCCTTGTTCATGGAGTTTACTTACTATATCTGCTACACTCAAGGCTGCGCGTGGTGGTGCAGCCTGTAGTCCCAGCACTGAGGAGGCTGAGGCAGGAGGATTGCCATGAGTTAAAGGCCAGCCTGGGCTATAGTGAGACCCTGTCTCAAAAAAGGGCTAGGGGTATAGCTCAGTGGGGCCACATCTGCCTCGGAAGCAAAAGGTCCTGAGTTTGATTCCCGGTACCTCAAATTAAAAAAAAAAACCCTACTGTATTAAAAGTGAATTTATAAAATACTTTAAATTCATTTTGAGAATAAGAAACTCCTTACTTTTTTTTGTTACTGGGGATCGAACTTGGGTCCTTGCGCTTGCGCAGCAGGCGGTGAAACCACTGTGCTAAATCCCCGCCCCCCCCTTACATAT